ATCAACAATTGAAGGTTTCTCAAACCTACTATTTTTATGTTTTTTTTTTAAACAAAAAAAAACTAGTAAAATCAGAACACTAGCTATGAGATTACCAGAATTTGTGCTTATGAAAGAATTTCTACCCCCATTCTTCTCCGACATGGAGAGACATCTACCACCACAGTCATTTCTTTGACGATCTCAACCAAACGGTTGAAGTTTTACCTCACAACATTCCTGTCCACCAATCACCTTGATCTCTATGAGTTTATTTGGTTGCTTTCAAAGTCATACATAAAAGAGTTTTTTTCTAAACTTTGTCATTTTTGATAAATAAATAACTTCCAAATTTTTTATTTACTAATAAAATTTCTAACTTTTGTAAGTATTTGCTAAAAGAACTTTAATTTAACTCAATCGGTGTTAAACATGTGTTTATACCCTCATTATTCCATTAACAATGAGTAGAGTTGGTGAGCACAAATAGAACTTGAAAACATCAAAAGTTAATTTTGGAAAGAAAAAAAAACTAAATTGAAGACTGTTTTCGCTAGTTTTTAAGATCAAAATCTTTTGAACTTACATCGATAGCTTACAAATTGCAACAAACAAAGACAACTAAACTAAGCCAATTTGTAACAGTTCACGAACTTATAATTCGATCCGCTCCATTAACTAGTTCGTTTTAACAAGTGAGAATGAAGTGCATTGCTTGAATTGACGCACTATTAGTTTTCTCTTGAACTTAATTGATTTGGCATTTCTGTAGACAATCAGATTCATTATGCATACAGTAAACAGTACTATCGAGCTTATGATTTCTAAATTGCATATACCTCTTTTATGCCCCCATCTCATTAGTCGTCTAAGTAAAAGAAAAAGGATAGAGTCAAAAAAGCATTTCAAACAATTTTAACCCTACCGTTCAAAGGTGGGACTCTATTAGTAAAAGTTAGATTGAGGACGTACAACTCTCTGCTTCCATTGTTTTCCGTGTCAATCTTCTTTTAACGTTTTCTCCATTATTCTCCACCCTTTTTCCTTTATTATTAGCA